ATATGTATAAGTTTACAACTCTCACACAATATTAATAAACTGAGAGAAAGGCTCCAAAAATGCCATAACTGGGGGAGTTTAGCTCAATGGGCGCTACATACAGAAGCTAACAAGCCCATTTACACATATTGTTAGCATTAGCCTCGATTAGCGCAACACCACAGTAAGCTAGTATAGCATTTTAGCTAACAAGAACGTGACTATAATTATTGACATCAATATATGCATTTTACATAATATTAAACCACAGCAACATTACCCAGAGCTATCCTAAGCTGTTTACTCACTTATCATTCACGCACAGCACTTTAGGAAACTTCCACCACTCCAGCCGTCTGCGCCACGATCAGTGGGCGGGGCTAGACAATTCGTGGTGGAACATGATTGGCTGGCTGTGATGATTGACAGCTAGTCAGCTAAATCTTGATTTATTTTCAGATTGGCCACCTGATCTCTGGACTTGACCATGAAAACTAATTTTTTTTAAAAATCCTGAGCTGGAGGAATGCAGTATTTCATGATCTGTGATCACTTCTTTTCTAATTAATTTCTATGGGAGCCAGGGCTTTTTGGAGCCAGGACTAGGGGACGTAGTTTTTTGACACTTCCGGGTTGGCTTCATTTTTCAGGGCCGGTTGCTACGTCCATCTTTTATACAGTCTATGGTCAGATCCGTACACTTGCTCATTTTTCCTGTTTCCAACTTCAAGAACCGACTGCTGTCTAATACATCCAACCCCTTTCCAGGTGAAATGAGAGAATCCTTGTTATTCACTTCACCCATCCGTGGTTTTAATGTTGTGGCTGGATGTTTACGTCCCTGCATCTGTGATAAAACATTCACTCCACCGCAGAATAATGCACAGATAAACTGGTCAGTTTTGGGGGTTTTTTTGGTCTGTTTTCTTGTAATATAGTCAGTAGCCTGTGAATGTTTTACACTGACATGAGTCGGGGAGACGTTTTTATTACATTCTGGGTTATTGTATTATTACATCAGCTGTTCTTACAGAGCTTCTGAGTGGATCGGATAAAGCCAGCAAACCGTAGTATTTGTACGTCAGTGATATCACACTGAGCCAACAAGGGTCTGACATGTTCATCTGTTTATCAGATGCACTTGTCATTTGTTTTGTCACTGGTGTGCAGTCAGCAGGTCTTGACATGTGTGTTTGTGCAGCCCCCCTCATGCGATCGCCCCGTGGGCTTTATTTTATGACGAGGACAAGGTGAGCAGCCTTGAAAAGCTGCCAGAAACTGTACATCAACATCAGTGATACTGTAATAAGAAAGAATGATTACCAGTATCTCCGCTTGGCTATTAAGATCTTCAATCAATTTTGAAATATCTATATTACACGGGAGCGCAGTGCTGTTTGCTGTCACAGTTGTAGGTGGGACTGCACTTTGAAGATAAATGTAGAAAAAAAATATAAATAAATAGCTTCAGGTGTTATTTTTTTTACTTTTTTTTTTTCTATAAAATGTCTCTGTCATTGGCCCGATATGGATGTCTGAGTATATTAACTGTATTTGAAAACTGGTTTGATTAGATTTGTGTTTGTAATGCATCTTTTGATTTATATATCATAATAAGTAAAAGGCAACGCTCTCCCACACATACCCTGTGCTATAGGTTCCAATAGTGTTTGGAAAGCAGGCAAAACCAATTCAAATGACAAAGAACTGCACTTTCGAAGGTTTGCGAACAAGTCCAGAATAAGTTTCATAATTGCCTCATCATTACCTCATGGTTACACTCGTTTATAACCGTGGTCAAATGAACTCATTATCCCTACATCCGCTCGGGTCAAAGGAACAAAGTAACTTAATCCCACCAAAAGCACTTAAAAGGTTGAAACTTAAATGAGATCAGTGCTGTGTGAACACATCCGCCCGATGTGTCTCACATTGTCTTTCACCTTTCCCACTATTACATCAGCTTCTTGAGACCCTCGCCGGTGATTGGAGGAGGTATCATGGTGAGCGAGACTTACAATCAGCCCAGCAAGATGAATGGCAATGAGGACTTTTTCATCTTTCTGCCTGCTGTTGTTTAACGGAGGCTGGCAACAGCACAGATGCAGACTCTGCTCGTCTTTTTTTCCCTCCTCCAGAGGGAGTGACATGCTGTGCTGTTGCCATGGTTACTTCTTATGTACCTCGACCATTTATTTCTATTTTTTTGTTCTTTTTGCGACGAACAGCACATTGTTAATTTTTTAAATCAAAAACACATTTTAAAAAATATATATTTGAGAAGAAAACACTTTGGAAACAGTGTTAAATGAAAGTGTGGATAGCAGATGGGCCTCGCAGGTGAAGGAAGTAACCTTATGCAAGCTGTTAATGTCAAAGTTAAAGGTGATGAGGCTCCTGCAGTCAGGGCCTCTCAGCTCTGCAAGAGGAAGGTTGTGAAGGTTGCAGAATTATCTTTTATCACTTCTCAAAATGCATCTTAAAAAAAAAAAAAAAAGAATTAAGATAGCACACTGTTTTATTACCAGCATGCCTTTATATTTATAAGTTATGTGTTATTTTTAATTGATTAACTGGCTCTGCTTTGCAAAACAGGTTGTACCTTTGTTTTGAAAAGCGCCGTGTAAATAAAATTTATTGTTATTATCGAGATTTTATGAAAG